CGTGTCAGGTGCATGCCCACTACTAGACATGCAATTGCGAAATGTTGTAACCCTACTACAACTACATGGGCACAAAGCGAGTACACTTGGGGTGGCAAGAGGGGGTTGTTCAGTCAGTTCCATGTCCACCACTAGGCATGCAACTTCAAGTGTTGTAAGCCGACTGCAACCGCATGGGGCACAAAACAATTGCAACTGGGTCAACAAGGTGGTTATCAGGCTAGTTGCATGTCCACCACTAGACATGCAGCTTCAAGCGTTGTAACCCGACTGCAACTGCATGGGCACAAAGCAACCGCAACTGGGGTCGAGGCGAGGGGGTTGTCGTGTCTATTGCACGTCCACCATTGGACATGCAACTGCAAGCGTTGTAACCCGACTGCAACTGCACATACACGAAGCGACTGCAACTGGGGTCGGGAGGGGAGTTCTTGGGGTCAGTTGCATGGTCATCACTAGATATGAAACAACAGTTGTACCCTCGACTGCAACTATACGGGCACAAAGAGACTGCAATTAGAGTCAAAAGGAGGGTTATTGGTCCAGTTGCATGTCCGTCACTAGACATGCAACTACAAGCGTTCTAACCCGGCTGCAAATCCACGCGTGCATAGTGACCGCAATGCATGAAGGGCTTGTCGTGTGGACGCAACTATTCTCATCTCGAGCTCAAATGACCCTGCATGAACAATAAAATCATAAAAAAATTCAAAAAATCTGATTCTTTTGTGCGAAACATTGACAAAATTTCTAAGTGCTCACAAATTTTCATATCACATATGTGGAAGTGGTGAAAAAAAACAAAATTGATGCTCCAAAAAATGCCATTTTCAAAAGCATTTTCAAGTGCTGATTTTTTATTGCTGCGACTTCCATGAATGTTATTTCAAAGTGAAAATTTGGAGGCTCTTAAAACATTTGTTAAAAGTTTATCACAAAAAAATACATTTTTTTATTTGTTTTCATTTTCTTTCAAATTTACTGTTCACCCGAGCTCAAATATTTGAGCTCGGGAGCAGAAGGACACTTTTGTTGTTTGGCCAATTACTTGTCCATTTGTTTTATCTTAGCATCAGATATGTAGATTTCCTATCATTTCCCCTTTTTATAGAACATTTTAATTTATATTTTGGCCTGTTTGTGCGTTTCATTTTATGAAATTATATTCACTGGCAGGAGCGCTCTAGCTACTCTCCACACATAGTCACAGCCCAAGACCGATGTTCTCTAAAAAAACAGCGGTGTTTCTCATAGAAAAACAACACACCGTTGATTTATAAAGAAAAACAAAGACTTTCTTTTTGAGAAACTAGAAAAGAAAAGGCTGCATGAGACTGCGAGCCAAGGAGAGAGTGTAAGTGCATCTAGTGCCAACCCTAGTTGGTTTTGAAGTATTGACGACAAACGTGATTGACGGACTAATGTGTTTGTGAGAATTGCAGGATAACACAGGTAGTAGTCCCTCATTGATTGTTGGTGCTGATGGTTGTTGTTGTATTTCATTGATTGTTGGTTTTGGTCGCTTTTGATTTTTTGTCTCCGCCTACGCATAGCTTCGGTCTTGTATGACTTTGCTCATTCCAGGCGTGACCTTTTGTGTGTGTGTGTGTGTGTGTAGGCTGTGTGCATCCTAACTGTGCAGAGGCCGGGTTGCCTGAGCATCCATAATTTGGATTTTGGCAGTTCTGGTAACCTTTCTCCTTTGGTGAGATCATGAAAATGGAGGTGAGTATACATCATGTCTACGATTTGGTGGTGCTTCTCAAGTACCTAGTCCTGAGCCCCGTGGTGAATGCCCTAGGTTTGACCTAGCTAGTTATACCTAGCAATGGTGGTTTACCTTCTTGATGGCATTGCATGGAGTTTCCTCGGACTTGATCTTCAGGGTGAAAACCCATGACCTATCTTTTGTTGTTAGATCTGGTGACGGCGGCGTTTAGGCGTCGTTCCCTTCCTGGAGGCGTTGCTATTGAAGAAACCTTTATCGCAGTCCGTGTGTACTCATGAGATGGTTGGTGCTGATGGTTGTTGTTGTTGTATATCATTGATTGTTGGTTTTGGTCGCTTTTGATTTTTTGTCTCCGCCTAGGCATAGCTTCGGTCTTGTATGACTTTGCTCATTGCAGGCGTGACCTTTTGTTTGCATGTGTTGACTGTGTGCATCCTAGCTGTGCAGAGGCCGGGTTGCCTGAGCGTCCATAATTTGGATTTTGGCAGTTCTGGTAACCTTTCTCCTTTGGTGAGATCATGAAAATGGAGGTGACTATACATCATGTCTACGATTTGATGGTGCTTCTCAAGTACCTAGTCCTGAGCACCGGGGTGAAGGCATTGCATGGAGTTTGCTCGGACTTGATCTTCAGGGTGAAAACCCACGATCTATCTTTTGTTGTTAGATCTGGTGACGGTGGCGTTTATGCGTCGTTCCCTTCCTGGAGGCGTTGCTATTGAAGAAACCTTTATCGCAGTCCGTGTGTACTCATGAGATGGTTGGTGCTGATGGTTGTTGTTGTATTTCATTGATTGTTGGTTTTGGTCGCTTTTGATTTTTTGTCTCCGCCTAGGCATAGCTTCGGTCTTGTATGACTTTGCTCATTGCATTTTTGTGTGCGTGTGTTGGCTGTGTCCATCCTAGCTGTGCAGAGGCCGGGTTGCCTGAGCGTCCATCATTTGGATTTTGGCAGTTCTGGTAACCTGTCTAGTCTATTTTGGCTAACCCGCAATGAATTTATATCATAGGCATGGGTTACACGTGTACAACTCAAACACCTAATCCTCCACATAAACCAAGTCTAACTGTAGTCCTGTACATGTATTTGACACTAATTTCAACACAGCCAGTTCTATACCATGCATGATTCAGGATTATGTGGAAAAAGATGCCATACACAACCATGAAAGGCTCAACAGAATTACTGCTGATAGCTAGATAAAAGCATGCGCACATGTACTATACTTGAATTTGTGAATCTAATATCCACAAAGAGTATTACCCAATCATGAAGAGCACTCATGACGAATTCCTCTGCCGATGACCAATGGAGAAAATCAGTTGGAAATCTAACCAATCAATCTTAGCCGATGAGGGGTCGGTCAAATTCAACTAGTCTAACCCATCAGTAGGACGATCTCTCACCACACAGCCTGCATACGCAACAACGACAACATGTTACATCCGCTTGTACTTCACCGCTGCTAACTAACTAGCAGTACTGGTTAGTAACATATGAAGTTTGATTTGAATAAATATAGTTAGACGGGACAAAGAAAGGAAGCCAACACATGCTAGCAGAGAGAGATATTGTATGTCTGCTATTTAAAAATCAGAGTGAAGTGAATGTAATACAAACGCTTCTAGCTAGCTGTATACTAGCCGTTTCACAACCAAAAGTGTCCCTTGCAATCAGTGAGAAAGGCAGATATAGTGCTCTAGGCAGCTCTATATAATGCACGATTCAGGATTATGTAAAAACAGCCATGAAGGCTCAACAGAATTACTAACTCCTAGCTAAAAAAATGCTTGCATGTATACTACTTCAATTTATGAATGTAATATGCACAAAGATTATTACCCACTCACTGGGACCACTCATGACGAACTCCTCTGCCAGTGACCAATGGAGAAAATTAGTTGGAACTTTAACCAATCAATCTCAACCAATCTAACCCATCCGTCGAAAGATCTCTCGCCAAACCGCCTGCATCCACAATAACAATGACATGATGTTACATCTGTTTGTGCTTCATCGCTGTTAACAAACTAAGCAGTGCTGCTTAGTTAAATGCGAATTTTTGGCAGAAATATAGCTGGAGGGTGCGAAGAAACGAAGCCAATTAACAGATGCTACTGTTTGTTGCTAGCTAGTAAGTGCGTACCTTGACGGTAGATAACAGCAGCTCACGAAAACACAAGTGTTTACATTGAAATCTCCGAAGTACTCTGATGCTATGACTGCTGCTAATCCACCCCAAAACCAGAGCACAAGTGCATGCAGGAGTAGGAGGCTTTTCAGTCAGAAGCTTCAGGCAGCAACAACAAGTTGGCTCCTCCTCTGTGTAACTAACCGAAGAGCGCACGATCCGTTGCGTGTTGTCTCCATACTATGCTCTGGTTGCTGCTGGGGTCCTCTGACTCTCCTTTCTACGTATTTGCCAAAGCATGAAGCAAGGTATATATGCCCTGATCTGCTTTTGCTTTCTCTAAAGTAAAGATGATGATTCAGATGCTCTTGCGTGCTACTGTCTTTGATTCTTCACGCTAGCTAGTTTAGTTTGCCCATCAAAGCTCGGTAATTCCTTCTCCTTTGTTTAAAGGTAAGTAAAAAGAAAGGAGTGGCAAACCCCAACAACAGTGTCAGCGTAGCGACCTGCCGGAGTTGTCTGGTCCGAGGCCTGGCTCCGGCTCCGGCTAGATGCGAGCGAGCGCCACGCCGGTCCGTTCGATTCCGACCCTCCGTCTCCACCTCCATCCTCCGCCGGCACGAACTCCGGGCCCGCCGGTCCGTCCGCCACCACTCCCGCGCACGGCCGGATCTCCACTTCTCTTCCACCGCCGAAACCCTCTGCAGCAGCATGGCGCTGCCGGGGGATTTTTGGTGGTCTCGGATGAACTGGGGATCGATTCTTCAGACCAACAACGCCAGATTTGGGGATTGAATCCACCGTTTTCATTCGGCAAACGTAACGAGCGACCGTGCGTTCCATAAGTGTGAGAGCAACTCTAGTACTCTACTGACCCAAAAAAAACTCTATTACTCTACTGATCCAAAAATAAATAAATAAAGCCAGCCTTAAAAAATACCTTTTTCATTTTTTCTTTTAATCATAAGAAAAACAAAGGATTCTTTAGATGAGGGAGTGGCTGCAAAATTTCCTTTGAAGCGTAGTGCTGTGGATTTCTTATAAAAAATTCCCACATGATTCAATCCTATGAATCGAGTAACCAACATAAAAAAAATTCATAACCCTTCACTATTCCTATGAAAATCCTTTAAATCAGAGAGGCCCTAAAAGGGCGCAAATAATATAAAACCCCACTGACAATACCCAATACCACTTCAGCGCCCATTTTTTTTAACAAAAGGCAGACTCTCAATCCCAAAGATTGGGAAGAAAACTCACCGCGGTGGGAAAGAAAACTAAATATGAGAACAACTCTACTAGTCCATCCAAAAAACATGCCCAACCGGAAAATTGATTTTCTTTCTTCTTTTTAAAAATTCAGCCCAACTAGAATCCAATTTTTCCGAGACGAACAAAGGACATGCCCTTGGTCCCAAAACACTAGGGAAGAAAACTCATGGCAGTGAGAAAGGAAACTCATGGTGGTGGGGAGGAATAACATGTCGGAAAAAATTAAAGTACACGGCGACAGAGGGAAGGGCCACGGTCAAAGGCAGAGTTGTCTTTGGTGTTAGAGCATAAAATGTTTCAAAATATGTATTCTACCACTCTTAAGGTGGTTGTAGAGTAGTCTCACCTGATATCACTATATCTATAATTATGGCCAACTGGATGATTCATTATTGGCTGAAATGACCATAACAGCCCTAGGAGGAAAGCCACTTTTGTGTATCGTCAGAACTACCAATCCTTTTGTTCCTTCGAGTCAAGTTTCCTTGAAACCATCTCTCGTAGCTCTGGCACCCCCGAGCATAACTGTTTTTTTGGCACTTCCAAGTGTTCTTTATCTAGTTGCGATATAGGTCTGATACTCCGAAGCAAATTCTTCCGCTACCTTCGAACCGTGGCTTTGGCATTTCTATAATTTCAATTAAGAGCTACTATATTTTCTCTGGGACTACCGAGCAATTTGTTTTACCCGCACTTCCAAGTAGTTTCTTTTTTGCAGTAAAAGAAACATATATTAGATTAAAGTGGATGAATCCAAGTGACCAATGTCGGTGTCAAAACTGACAGATTTCGGGTAGGGGTCCCAATCTGTTAGATCGGATCGATCGGCAACAAGAGAGAACGCACACGAACTTTACCCAGGATTCGGGCCCTCTCTATGAAGGTAAAACCCTACGTCCTGCTCTTACTTATATTATGGAAGTATCAAGGTACAGTGTTGATCTACCTCGAGATCGTGAGTTGTGGTCTAAACCCTAGGGTATGGTGAATGTATGAATGGGTGTATGGATGGTCATCGTCTATCGACTAACCTGGCCTCGGCTTATATAATGTACCGGAAGCCTAGGGTAACAAGAGTGCTAGTTGGCTACGTCGGTGGAGAGGAGTCCTTATCTTGATCACTAATGGGCTGCTCGAACTGGCCCATTACTGAACCGCCATAGGGGTCCTCGGTCCAACCCACCTGGTCGGGAGACGATGTGGTGAGTACCCCCTAGTTCAGGACACCGTCAGTAGCCCTCTGAACCGGTCTTCAAGTTGGGGACGCTTGCTTGGTTCTTTCGAGTTGTTCTCCGTCTTCGGCAAACGGTCTTGAAAACTGGTTCAACAAATTCTTCCCATCTCTATCTTGAGGATCGGCAAGGTGCATCCAAAGAGTTCACACGTCGGGCATCCGAGAATCCCCTTTAAGTTCTCGGCCTCTATCAATGCCTTGTTGTTTTTACGCCACACCTCGGGTTCAAAGTTTATCCCGTGCGGCGGTGTTCTATTGCATCCGAGCTCCAATGTCAGACTGCATCCAAGGTGTATTTTTGCTACCGAGCTCCAACGTCGATCTACATCCGAGATGGCATAGATCACTGATGACCCACAAGTATAGGGGATCAATTGTAGCTCTTTTCGATAAGTAAGAGTGTCGAACCCAACGAGGAGCAGAAGGAAATGACAAGTAGTTTTCAGTAAGGTAATGTATGCAAGTGCTGAAATTGTAAGTAGCAGAGTAGTTTGATAGTAAGATAATTTGTAACGAGCAAGTTACAATAGTAGTAGCAAAACTGCAGCAAAGTAGCCAAATCATTTTGAGGCAAAGGACAGGCCAAAACGGTCTTTTATGATAAGCAAAGCGTTCTTGAGGGTACACGGGATTTTCATCTAGTCACTTTCACCATGTTGGTTTAATTCGTGTTCGGTACTTTGATAATTTGATATGTGGGTGGACCAGTGCTTAGGTGTTGTTCTCACTTGAATGAACCTCCTACTTATGATTAACCCTCTCGCAAGCATCCGCAACTACGAGAAAAGTATTAAGAATAAATTCTAACCATAGCATTAAACTTTTGGATCCAATCGGTCCCTTGCTGGAGTTTAAGCTTCTTCACTCTCGCAACCCATCATCTTATTGCTACTCCATAATGCATTCCCTTAGGCCCAAAATATGGTGAAGTGTCATGTAGTCGACGTTCACATGACACCACTAAGGGAATCACAACATACATACTATCAAAATATTGAACACATATTAAATTCACATGATTACTTGCAACATGCGATTTCTCACGTGACCTCAAGAACGAAAGTAACTACTCACAAATGATAATCATGCTCAAAATCAGAGGAGTTTTAAATAGCATAATGGATCTAAACATATAATCTTCCACCAAATAAACCATATAGTAATCAACTACAAGATGTAATCAACACTACTACTCACCCACAAGCACCAATCTATAGTTCCGGTAACAAGATTGAATACAAGAGATGAACTAGGGTTTGAGATGAGATGGTGTTGTTGAAGATGTTAATGGAGATTGCCCTCCCCAAGATGGGAGAGTTGTTGGTGATGATGATGATGATGATTTCCCTCTCGGGGAGGGAAGTTCCCCTGGCAGAATCGCTCCGCCGGAGGGCAAAAGTGCTCCTACCCAAGTTCCACCTCGAGACGGTGGCGCTCCATCTCGAAAGTCCTCTCCTTATTTTTTTTTCTAGGTCAAAATGACCTATATACCAGAAGATGGGCATCGAAGGTGGGACTGGGTGAGCACAACCCACCAGGGCGCGCCTGGTCCGCCTAGTGTGTCGAGGTGGGTTCTGCCCACCTGGTGGGCCCCCTCTGGTAGTTATTTTCTCCAATATTCCTCGAATATTCCATAAAAATTCTCCG